CCGGGGGCGGGGGCGGGGGCGGGGGCGGCCACGAAGGGAGGAGGAGTCGGAGGGCAAGGGATGTGATGGGTGGTGGCGAGTTTTTCGGGACGAGGGCCCTTTAAGACCGGGCGGACGCGGCGGCGCGGCTCTCGGAACTCGGGAAAGTGAGCTGCGCTGCGCGGCGGTAAACTGCGGGGCGACCGGCCGGGCGGCTGACGTCAGGAGAAATTGACACAGATTTAAAGGGCCAGGTCCCTGATTTGCCCTTAAAGAGGCCGCGGGCCTTCAGCCGGAGGGGAAAGCCCAAGAGGCCTTCTCCAACTTCTACTAAGCTACTGCCTTTTATTTCCTTATTCTGTATGTCTTTGGAAGCTCACTTTAGAATAAGCGGATGTTTCTATGAAGGATTTCCAAGTGCTGGTTTTTGTTGACAAATTCTTCTCTGCTCAAACACAGGAAGCCCCTACCCACAACCATCACCACTAGCATCCTCTGCTCTATTCCCGCTCCAGTTTTTATTCTGCGTTCTTTTTTTTTTTTTTTTTTTTGGTGCCGGGGATAGAACTCAGGAACTTGTGCTTGCGAGGCAGGAGCCACTGAGCTAAATCTCCGGCCCCTATTCTGTGTTCTTACAAAACGAAGAACCGAAAACATTAGGAAACAGGACAGTGGACCTGCCGACAGAGGAGAAGTTGAGGCAGAGCTGCAAGAAGAGCCCCCCCCCCGCCCCGTGCCTCTCACGCCCCACTGCAGGGGCCACACAGCTGCAGGGACCAAGCTTGTGGGCTCTTTCTCCTCTTCTCTGCAAAGGCTGTTACAAATCTCACCCAAAGATAGTGATCTTCAGTATAAATCTCGGAAAACTTTTCTAAGAAATATTTTGGCCCTGGATTTTAAGAAGCTTAAAGAGCTTTAGCCAGTAATTCTACTCCTGGGACTTTGTCATAAGGAATTAGAAATACAGATAGAAACGTATTAGTTGTTTCAAAGGAAGCAACCTGAATATCTACAATGACGGAGTGGTTAAATGTACTATTATCACAAAGCCATCAAAAATGATTCTTAACACTTTCGTGCACATGTAAGTACAGAATTCAGGATATGACACTACATAAACAGTGTACGTTCCAAAGGCAGGGAAATACATTGAAAAGATAACAGGTAACCTGGACCTGGTGGCACACTCTTGTAATCCCAGTTGCTGAGGGGGATCACAAATTCAAGAATAGTATGGGCAATTTAGGGAGACTTTCAAAACAAAATAAAAAGAGGTGGCATGTAGCTGAGGGTAGAGCATTTGCCTAGCATGTGTAAGCCCCTAGGTTCAAACCCCAACAGCACAAGAAAAAGAAATAGATAAACCATGTAAAGCTGGCAGGAAGATTCCTTGAAGGACCAGCCTAGGCAAAATAATGAGACCCTATCTCAAATAAATAACACCCCCCCCATGTACATCATTTTCTTCTAATTCCAAAAGTATACAAAAATAACAAACAAACAGAAAAAAGCACTGGATTATAGGTGGTTTTGTCTTTTGTTTTTGGGACAAGATGTGTCACTTCAGTTCAGGTTGGCCTAAAATGCTCAATCCTCCCAAATACTGAGATTACAGTCATGCTACACATTCTTTTTTATACTTTTTACAAATGTACAACATGTGTTTAGCGCATGCCTGTAATCCCAACACTTGAGAGGATCACCATGAGTTTGAGGTCAACCCAGGCTACATAGTGAGTTCAAGGCCAGCCTGAACTACATAGTCAGACCCAGTCTCAAAACAAGCAAAGAACATGTGTTCAGCATATTCCAAGCACCAAAATCAAATAAAATACATAAATTTATTATAATGTATATACATTCCATTTATAATATAAACTAAATATGTTTAAAGGAAAAGAAATGTGGCCACCTCTGAAGTTGTAAGACATCCTGATAAAGCCACCCAGGCCCAGGGTATTGTCAGAGTTCTCTCAGCTAGCAAGACTGAGAAGTCTCAGCTCCTGCCCCTGCATTACTACCGAGGCATCCTTCCAGTAAGGACTATTTTACCTTATAACCAGTGATGAATATTCATCTCTCTAATAAATATGTAATAATCACCAACGTGTGCCAGTTACTATTCTAGATCATGGGAAAATAGCAAATGAGAGAATTAGAGCTGACCCAGTCTAAGAACGGCATGCTTTAGGATGAAGACTAAAGCAAGAGGAAACCACAGGAAAGCCTTAGGAAGTTAGCTGCAAGAGCACCTTAGGAAAACAAAAAACAAAAACAAAAACAAAACACCTTAGAGGGGCCAGGGATTTAGCTCAGTGGTTTCGCCGCCTGCTTTGCAAGCGCAAGGTCCTGAGATCGATCCGGACACCAAAAAAACCAAAAAAAAACAACTTAGGGTTTTCTTGCCCATCTCCTTCTACCAGAAAAAAAGGCAGCTCATCAGTAGCTCATTACACTCAGTCTCTTTATCTGTGTATAGTGGTGCGGAAATGCTGGATCTCAAACCCAGGGCCTCATGCATACTGAGCATGTGCTGTGCCACTAAGCTACATCCCCAGCCCCTGTACTCAAGTCTCTTGCACCTTGGTCCAGTATTCTTTCCAGCACATCTAGACAAACTTGGATCACAGGACCCTCAGAGTAGCAAGCGGTATCTACATACTCTCCATGCAAAAACAAAACAAAACACTCCTTGACAGGTGTGGCAACAATCCCTATAATCCTTAGCACTCTGTAGGCTGAGGCAGGAGGAACTGCCTCGAGTTCAAGGCCAGCCTGTGCTACATAGTGAGTTCAAGCCCAGACTGAACTATATAGTAAGACCCTGTCTCAAAAAAAAAATTTTTTAAGGCCTCCATATAGTCAGCTGTCCCATTGAGAGAATTCATGTATGGTTTATGTATTCCAAATGAACAGACATCATTTTCTCATGATGACCTCACTCATCTTTCTGTCATAGGACAGGGTCCAAGGAAGTCCCCAAAGCAGAGATGGGGAATCTAGTGTCACCCCACCCACCAGGCAGGTTGTAGGTTCAAAGACTTCCATCACAGAAAAAGAACTTTTAGGACAAGTCAGTAAGAGGCATAAAGGTATTTATTAGGCAGAATTTTAAATGTACACACTCAAAGAAATAGAGTGGAGCCTTCTAGAAGGAGAAAGGCATTATAGTCTGGAGCTGGGAATACTTGTATGTTTTTGGCAATGGAAATTTGTGGAATTTGTCAAGCTATAGAAAGTTTGGCCTTGGTTTACAGAAGAAAACCGATGGCCATAGGTAGAAATATAAGTGGCTTGTTTTACAGATAAAAATAATGGCACTGGGAATTTAGCTCAGTGGTGCTGGCACCTGTCTGGCAAGTGCAAGGTCCTGATTTAGATCCTAGGTACCAGAAAAAAACAAAACAAAACAAAACAAAAAAACGCAAAAATAATGGCTCACTTTACAGGAGAAAAGCACAGGCCTAGTCCATTGTGGGGGTTTTGTTGTTATTGTTGTTGCTGTTGTTTTGTTTTTTTAAGATGGGTGATGTTTTCCCCCAAAACATCTTTTGAAAACTTTGAACAGTTTTTTCTGTTTTAAGGTCAGGTTTCTGCCCTTTACCTTATCAACCAAACTACTTCATGGGTTTACAGTATCTTTAAGGGATTTTAAGTGGGCTGGGCCTGGAAAAAAAAAATAAACAAAGCTTGGGAGTACAGATATAGATAACCTTGGGTAATTTTGTGTCCTTAAATTGCAATCTTCTTCAAAGTACAAGTTTTAAATTATGATTTTGTCTCTTTCCTATCTTTATTTCTTCTATCCTCCCTCATTTCTAGTAAATAATCCAAAACTCCAAGAAACACTCCCACACAGAGTTTTTAGCCTGATGTAATTTAAATGGTCTACCATGTGCCAGGAACTTTCCTGGATGTTATGAGAACAAACTGAAGGTCACAGAGCTACAGCTACAGGCTGTCAGCTGTATGGCTATACTATATAAACCCAGGCTAGGAGCTAGTGAGAAACATTTTAGGTTGGCCTCAGTGCTGGAGGCAAAATGTGACCCTTCTTGACTGTCTAAAATGCACATCTGGAGCTCTACTCCATACTTAGTGAATTACAGAGCAGCCCAAAAACCTGCTTGCTTGATTTGAGACAAGTAGCCCAGGCTTCAACTCATGATCCTCCTGCCTCAGCCTCCCAAGTGCTGGGATTGCAGGCATGTGCCATCATGCCTGGCTGTTTGCTTTTTATTTTTTGAGACAGGGTCTGGCTATGTAGTTCAGGCTGGCCTTGAACTCATGGCTATCCTCCTGCTTCAGCCTCCTAAAATCTGGGATCACACTTCAGGAGCTTTTGCAATACAGGTGGGAAACTACTGCCCTAGGGGCACACAACTGTTGACTGGCAATATTCCTTTCTCTTGGCATCTTGAGAGAGAAAAGCAACCCCAGAGGGATCCTGCATTCTTACAAGTCTCAGAGTTTAACCTTTAAATTCCCAGAACCCTGGGTGTTCAGATAGGGGTAAGGCAGCAGCCTGAGATTTTCTAGCTGTTCTTAGGTCTGCAGAAGTTTCCTCACCCCATCCCTAGGGAGGGAACAGCACAACTCAGTTATGAATAGGCCCTTTCTGAGGTCTGGCAGAGGAGAGAAGGCCAGTTTTGTTGCCCGAAGCAGCATAAAAGGACAGTGCTAGGCCTCAAAGCCAGACTTGTGAGTGCAAAGGGAAGTTGCCAAGGTTTCAGGGCAGTACTCGTGGCTTTCTGCACAGGTCCAAGAACTGCATTTTCTGCCATATTACACAAAAACCTCAACCCAAGCTG